AAAAAAAAGGATCCAAAACATGTACATAGAACTTATTTCACCAGCAAAAGCATCAACATGTTCAAAAAAACGACACGGAGTAAGTAACATGACATAATATACAGAAAACTCGCCAAGTAATCACCATTCATGCACCAAATTATATAGCTATACCATGTATAAAAAAATCACCCTAATTCTTATCCAGAGACACCAAATTTCAAATTTAAGACAAAAACTAAGCACAAAATAACTATCCAACAACTTTAAAAACCCGAAAAACGAAAAAAGAAAGGAAAAAAAGAATGTACCGACACCTTTTTCAAATGCCTTCTGTTCTATGCATCCATGGCAAGTCCAAATTCGGTGGAGATGAGCCAGAAGAGCTGGCAAATTTCCCCTTCTTCGACCATAACCAAATCTTCGAAACCGAATAGCTATCTGTCTTGGAGCCAATACCTATCCTTTTCCCCTCCGTGCTCGTATTATTACAAGATTGCCCTTTTTCCTTTACAACCTCTCGTTTACCCTGATCTTGGCTCAAGGCCACTCGAAGATTAGCTTCACCCACCACATACTGATACGAACCCATCGAGTAACACCTCCGCTCATCCAATTTACTATTGCTAGTTTCTCCAATGTCAACCCCACCACCTTCATTTTCGTTCACTTTCCGGAACTTTCCGAGCCGAACTGGAAAAACGCCCTTTTCCACAACAACATTATCCTCGATTTCAACTCTCTTCCGAGAAATCGAAATCGCAAACCGAGTTTCATCGACATCCTCTTCTCTAAAATCATCGTAATCGAAAATCGGGTTCTCTATCGAAAAACCCGGATTGAAAACAGCCCCTCTACAAAGCGGGCAGGTCGAATTCGAGAGAAGCCATGTGTCTATACAGTTGATGTGAAAAGCGTGGCTGCAAATGGGGAGAAGCCTCAGCTGATCGGTCTCGGCAAATTCGCACAAACAGACAGCACAGTCGAAGGGCTCTTTTGGGCCTAAGATTTCTTTGTAAGAGAAAACGGGCAGGGCATCGATGAAAGCTTGATCCAAGCCAGAGTCTTGGAGATGAAAGAGCTGCTGAAGCTGCCTCTGAAGGGTGTTGTCCGGGTTAGAAGAAGCTTCCGGGTTGAGATTGTGTCGGGATGAAGAAGGGTTCTTGGTTAGGAACCGAACGAGCAAGTGGAGAATGCCGGATATGAAGAAAAGGACGGCTAGTATGACTATGATGAAGAGAAGGGCCGGGCTGATTTTGGATCCGGATCCGGGTGGGGGTGGATCGGGTATTTTTTGAAAAACGGGCTCGATTGGGGGAGAGTATTGGGTGATTTGGTGCCTAATCCAGGAGATTTTCAGGTGGGCATGATGATTATGATGACCGGAAACTTCTTGCATTCTTGTTAAAGCAAAAGAGACCTTAAAAAAC